GAGATCGTGCCGCTCGGCCTCGAGTGGAACCACTCGCCCGCGGCCGGCGAGCGATCGCCCACCGGCTACGTGGGCCTCAAGAACCTGGGCTGCACCTGCTACATGAACTCCCTGCTCCAGCAGTTCTTCATGATGCCCGACTTCCGCGAGGGCATCCTCAGCATCGATTTCCCGACCGGTACGCCTCCGCACTCCTATGCGTGCGTGTGCCATGTCGTGTGCGGTGTGCGTGTTCCGTCGCTAAAGATGAACTTGCGCCAGATTACGATTTGGACAAGGCTCTCTACGCCAAGAAGAAGACTGAGGAGGAAGAAGAGGAGGAGGACGATGATGGTGATGACGCCGACGGAGCCTATGAGAGTGACGTGGTGGAGGATTCCTACGACGACGAGATGGTCATCAAGAACCTCTTCCCCAAGAAGAGGGCGAACAAGAAGAAGGGACCCGTCGTCATTGGCTCCGATGACCTCCTGGTCGAGATGCAGGTCATGTTCGGGTGCCTTCAGGAGAGTCTGCGACAGTACTACAACCCCAAGGGCTTCTGTTTCGCCAACAAGGTGCAGCGTTAGCACCTCGCGCACGCGTGTTGTGTGTGTGTGTGTGCGTGCGTGCGTGCGTGTGTTAAGACGCCCCTCAGGGCTAGGCTCGATCACTGCTGCACATCGTTTTGCTCACGGTTGTTGATCATCAACCAGGACTACGACGGGCAGCCGGTCGACACAAGCGTACAAATGGACGTCGACGAATTCTTTAACATGCTGTGCGACAAGCTGGAGACCAAGCTCAAGGGCACTCCCCAGGTACCACCACACGTCGTGTGAGTAGACGCTTGCGCGGGGATCATCGTTGGCTGATCATTCGCGCCTGATTGCTTTCGGGTCTGCAGGAAAAGCTGCTGAAGGACATCTGGTGCGGCAAGATGAGCACGCAGCTGATCTGTAAGGGCTGCCCGCACAGGTCCGAAAGGGACGAGCAGTTCTACACCATGAGCCTCGACATCCAGAACAAGAAGGACATCCTCGAGGTGCGCCTCCATCTATTATTCTTTTATTCTATCCTATTATCATTTAATTACAATTTACAATTTATTGTTTGCGTCTCTGTGTGGTTCAGGCGCTGCAATTGTATGTGCGAGGTGATATGCTGGAGGGCGACAACGCGTATTTCTGCGAGACGTGCAAGAAGCACGTCGACACCCTGAAGCGGTCCTGCATCAAGGAGCTCCCCAACACGATGATCCTGCATCTCAAGCGCTTCGAGTTCAACCTGGACACCATGCGGAAGGTCAAGCTCAACGACTACTGCGAGTTCCCGGACGTGCTCGACATGCTCCCCTACACGCGCGAGGGTCTGGCCCTGCAGGAGAGCCAGGAGGAGAAGGAGGAGGGCGCCAAGGCCCAAGAGTACTACTTCCTCCTCTAGATGACGCGCACGCACACGCACACGCACACGCTCACGCACACACCACCGCGCACACTGATTGGGTTCACAGGAGCAGCCCACGTGAGTCGGTGGAGGAGACGGACGAGGCAGCGCCGGGGCAGGAAGAAGAGGGTAGCAAGACGCCGGCACCGGCTGAAGAAGCGGAACAAGCCCAGGAGCCGCTGCCGGAGATCAGGCCGCGCGAGTACTACGAGTACGAACTCGTGGGCATCCTCGTGCACAGGGGCGTCGCCGACAGCGGCCACTACTACTCGTTCATCAAGGACCGATCGGCCAGCGGAGCAGCCGGCGAGAGCAGCTGGATCGAGTTCAACGACAAGACCGTTACCGAGTTCGCAGCCAAGGTACGGACGAACCAATTCTCCCCCTCATTACAATTAATTTATATTTATACCAAACTGATCATTATTCTTTGCATTCCTCCAAATAAATGCAGGACATACCGGCGGAGTGCTACGGCGGGGAGGAGACGCTGCTGTCCTACGACACCTTCACCCGGACCCGGCTCCCGCGCAACTTCGAGAAGACCCGGAACGCCTACATGCTCATCTACCAGCGCAAGGTGCCGCAGCCGGTCGGGTCGAGCCCGAAGGACGTCGACGCCAATGCCGGCGCCACAGCTGTGGCCGTGTCGGCCCAGGCCGAGCCGGCGCAACAGGAGCCCAAGGACCGGGGCTGCAGCAAGCTGCTGGAGCACGTGTGGAAGGACAACGTGCGGTTCCTCCACGAGAAGAAGCTGTTCGACCCGGCCTACTTCAGCTTCCTGTGGCACCTCATCGATCTCAACTCAGATTCGTCTCTGCCCGGTACACCCACCACTCCGTCATGTCGTGTTTCTGTCGTGTGCCGCGTGCCATGCATCACGCGTGTGCGCGTGTCGTGTGTGTGCCGTGCGTCGCGCGTGTGCGTGTGCGTATTGTTGCTAATTAAGGGATACTTTTTTGTGGGTCGCTCGCAAAGGCTTATCGCTGCGGACCCTCCAAGTGGCGACCTTCTTCTTCCTGGAGGTGATCTCGCACGCCAAGGACCGGGAAATCCTCCCCAGATTTGGCGATCGACTGCGCCAACGGTACCTACTCCCTCGCCCTCCTGCAGTGCAACTGGTGGCGTGGGCCACAAGTCGGGCATCTGACGTGGGGGGAACTAAACACATTATTATGAATCACAGATACAAGGAGAGCGACGAGGCCAGCCGCTGGCTCGTTGCGCTGCTGATCGACGACAAGCGGATGCTCAGCCAACTGCTCTTCGAGTGCCCCGTCGAGGAGGTGCGTGCGTTGTTCATTTTTATTTTGTTATCTATTTTATTTTATTATTCTTATTATTATTATGTCTGCGCAGATCCGGTCTTCCTTTGCCGAGCTGCTTGCGTCGGTGGTGCAGACGCTGCTCAAGGACCCTCTCGAGCAGCGAGCGCTCCTTCAATCGGTGCGCTGTCTTTATATCTATCAATCGTGTTCCGTCATACCGCACACACCGCGTGTGGGCCGTGTGTGGACCAGCGGTGTGGTGTGCCATGGCTTACCTGTTCGGTTTGGGGGTGCAGGAATACGAGATGGGCGACGTGAAGGAGGCTGGTTCTCCTCTTGTCCGGCCGTTGGTCGACCGAGTCTTTGCTCTGGTACGGAGCCTAAACACGCACGCACTCGCACACGCACACGCGATTGAGAGAGGCAATGTATTGACTTTCTCGCCACAGCTTCCGGATGCCACCCGCTATTGGAGGCAGTTCAAGGAGTACTTCGGCTTCTTCCTCGAGTTCGCCAGCATTGGGCCTGTGCCGGTATGTACCATACCATGGCTTCCTGAACTGCCTCGACCCCTACTCTTTGCACCATCTGATCTTTTATTTCTCTTTCTCTTTATTTTAGAAACGCTATTTGCTGGCCATGAACGCCATCGGTCAGTTCCTGCATGCCTACCTCGGCCCGAACTCGCCTTACATCAAAGTGCGCTACACGGCACTTACGCACACGGCACACGGCACACGCACATGCACACGCACACACGGGACGACACTAATGCATTGCTGGTATTTCACAGGAGCGGCCCAAGTTCAAGCTGGGCAATCGCTGGGAGGATCCGGACTACTCGACCCTCATCTCGTGCGTCTCGCTGTTGGCCCGAAGCTGCGACCTGCCGCGCGACCAGGTCGTCACCAGCCACCAAGCCGCCGCAGGCGACGACGGCGACGACGGTGCGGCGCCGCAGGATGTGCTCACCGCCACCCGCTACCCTCCCACCCAGGAAGAGGGTGCGGCTTCCCCCCCCATTGCGTGTGGTGCGTGCAGCGCACGTCAGTTGTGTCTCATATGTGGGTGGCGGCGGTCGATTGATTGCCAACGTTGGCGAACAGGCGAACCGTTGATGCTGGCCGGCTGGGACTACACGTTCCTCGCCAACGAGTCCTTTGTCAAGCAGCTCGTCAAGGACGACAACAAGTATGTCGTCGCCGAGTCCGGCATCCTGCTCAGGCACCTCATCTGGGAGAACTGCAGTACGGTCCCCGCCTCGAGTCGAGTCAAATCGACTTGGCTTGGACTCACCATGCATCTCGCCGTGCGTGCTATGCGTGTGTCGTGTCGTGTGTCGTGTCGTGCTTGCAGCCAACACGGACGTGGTGATGCAAGTGATGCGAAACGCGATCGCGCGCGCGTCGTATGACATGCTCAAGCCGCTGCTGGCGGTGATGGAGCAGCTGCTGGCGCTGGAGGACTCCTACACGGCCACGCGAGTCGAGAACAACATCAAGGACCTCCTCGAAATCTTCGAGGACAAGAAGAAGCTGCCCAAGACCACCGAAATCAACATCAAATTCCTCGTACGTGTTGAGTGTCGTGTCGGTGTCGTTTGGTCGTGAATGCGGCTTCGGGCTACTTACACTTAGTTGGATTCGCAGATCCACAAGCTGTATGAGAAGAACGCGGTGGCGCGCCATGCGCTCAACAAGCTCTACCTGAACACGTTGGAGGCCAACTACCAGCCGCTCGCCTGGGTCGAGAGCTGGCTCAACACCCACCACCACGACATCAACGGTACACGATTCATGAAGCCGCCAGTGCGACAGCGGAAATGATGAGAAAAACTCACAGTCAGCGGGGCGTGTGATCGTCCTGCAGATCCGGGCTGGTTGCTGATCCCTGTGTCGTACGAGGACGAGAACACGGTGGAGGACTTTGACGCGACTGCGATCGACGCCGATGCCGAGGCCGATGCCGATACTGACCCCGCTGCCGACGACCCGCCCTACCCACCTGGCAGCACCGAATTCATTCACGACTCGATCGACCAGCTCTGAGACCACGACGTGCTTGACCTGGTAAGGATTAAAGGGTTTACATTCTTTCCTTCGCACAGCCCATCATCTGTGAGAGTATGAGTGGTCTTGAGCCGTTGAAGCTGTGCAGCGGAAGGAAATTTTCAGATTGCAATCGGTACCCAGGGGCGACTTGGTTGCGGTGGACCGAAAGGTCGCACAACACAACTTCAACTCGAGCATTCAGACACCACACAACACCGCCAGACACTTCCCACCACCCACATCTAGAGCAACAACCATGTCGTCCGCCCTGCGTCGTAGCTACAACGAAAACGTACGCAGTCACTTGGGGGCCTGGGTGAAGCTTGACTTGTGCTCTGACCAATCGTTTGTTACCACTCAGACCAAGGCCGTTTGGCTCACCCTGTTCCCTCTCATCGGTACGTAGCGTGCTGTCTTGATCAATCCCTTCGATCTTCTTCGCCCCATGGACGAAACATCACAATTGGGCTTGTGTGCCATAGCGGGTGGCTGTGTCTGGGCGGGCTACATTGGTTTTCGCAACCTCGGCTCACACAACGACGTAACGTACGTACCTCTTTCGTTCGCCAGCTCGTTCCTCCAGAGGAATGAAGATGTGCTCACCCCCTTTTCCCTGGCCCTCACCTGCAGCATCAAGGCGAAAGGGGCCGAGCCGTATCTGGCCAGCGAGAGCCCCAAGCTCATCTCGCGCAAGTCGGCCATCAGCACAACCACCAAGTGGGTCAATGAAATGGGCGGCGAGCCCGCCCGCAAGTGAGAGCCACACCACCACACTTATGTAGAAAAGAAATACGGAAAATGCACCCCTCTCTTTCACAGAATACCGTGTTTCCTTATTTAGGAGGTTTACCCTTTTATGTACCTTACCAAAAAACGACTGTGTTGTTCTCTTTCACCAAACAACAACCACACCGCAGTCCAACCTTCTTGGCAGCGATGAGGAACCTCGGGCAATGCCTCACCACGCTGGGGGTTATCCTGCTGTTGACTGTTCTCAATGCCTCGGCTGCTTATTCCCATCGTACCTCCCCCCGCTCGCCTGTTGGCATCTTGTTGGTTTGTAGCTCATCCCTTCGGCCAACTTGCATCATCCAGATATGGACTTCGTGACCGAGAACGGAACGCAGTGGGCAGTCAAGGTGTCGGCCAAGGACCAATCCGAACAGTTCCTCAAGCTCAAGCAGCTCGCAGAGGAGCACGGGGTAGGCGTGTCTTAATTGTGATATTTTTATTTGTTTTTTTAACTCTTCAATTTCTTCTTTTCTTTTTTTGTCATCTATCTGCAGTGCCGCATCATTGGACCGGTCGGCAACCTTCGCGACTACTTCCTTCTTGAACACGACCCCAACCACCGAGCCAGGAGGAGCATTGCAGAGGTGCGCTACGTGCCAGTGGGTTTTAGCCCCCCCCCCACATTTTCCTGGGCTCACAACTCTCTGTGCAGGTGGACACCGCACTGGCGGTCCATCCGCACGTAGAATGGTCCGAGATGCAGGAGCTGCGCACCCATGCCAAGCGCATGGAGCTTATCACGGGTACTATTATTGCTCTTCTTGGTCATGCTAGGAGAGAGCAGGCTAACGTGTAGCGGTTCTAGACCCCTTGTACCCTGCCCAGCACCACCTGCACAACCCACACGGCAGGGACCTCCACGTCATTCCCGCCTGGGAAAGAGGCCTGTCGGGTCGCGGCATCGGTACGCTTGGCTCTCGCGCATGCAATGGGTGTCCAGTGCGTGTGTTGTCTAATCTGGGCTGGAACGTTCATCGTCGCGGGGTGCGTGGTCATGGCACAGCTATCTCCCTCGTGGACGACGGCCTGGAGTGGCGCCACAAGGACTTTGGCGAAGGGTCGCGCTTCCTTGCGGAGGGATCGAAGGACTGGAACGGACGAGACGACGATCCTACTCCTGTGCGCTCGGACGACACCCACGGCACCGGTACTACTCCCTCTGCTGTCTAGATCTATGGGCTCTTGCAGCTTGCTGACCACCGTGTGGACGCTGCACAGCCTGCGCCGGTCTCGCCTACGCCGGCATGAACGACGGCACCTGTGGCGTGGGTTTGGCTTTTGCGTACGACCTCCGCTCGCCCGCCTTCCCTATCCAGCAGGGCAATGATCCACATTCATTGAATTGCACCGTTGATTGTACAAACACAGGGCCAAGGTGAGCGGTCAGCGACTGATTTCGGGCGGCGTGACGGATGCCATGGTGCGTGCAATCCTCCCCTCCACCACTCCCCTCCTATGAGGCGCTATTGCTCAACTCTTAAACTTCGCACAGGAAGCAGCAGCGCTCTCGTACCGCAACGATCTCAACCACATCTACTCCTGTTCGTGGGGTTCGTGACACGATTTAGGAGGATGAGTGGCCGGAGTCGTAGTAGTAACTCTTCGTTCTACTTCCAGGGCCGCCCGATGAAGGACTAAACGTGGAGGGACCCAAACACCTGATGCAGCAGACCTTTATCGAGGGCACCACCAACGGCAGGAATGGAAAGGGCACGATCTTCATGTGGGCCGGCGGCAACGGAGGCGGTGCCAGGGACAACGTCAACTATGACGGCGTACGCGCCACAGCAGCATTGATAACCAGTCGGGAGCGGAATGTGTGACGTGACTGACGACTGCTTTGCTTTTTTTTTCCATTCCAGTACGCCAACAGCATCTACTCGATTGCCATCGCCTCTGTCAATGGTGACGGCCGCAAGGCAGACTACAGCGAAGAGGGAGCCCCGTTGGTGGTGAGCGCCACCTCGAGCCCGCCCTACGTCACCACCACCGGCGTCAAAGGAGGCTGCGAGTACGAACTTCGCCATACTTCCTTTGCCTCAGCGACCCTCTCCCTAACGCGCCGCACAGCCGAAGGTTCAGCGGCACCTCAGCCTCGGCTCCCATGATCTCCGGCGTTGTCGCCCTCATGCTGGAGGCCAACCCCAACCTCACCTGGCGGGTACGTACTGTCGCGGGCACATTCGCTGCGCCGCTTTTTTATCGTTTGTTGATTTTTGTTTGCTACTTGGTCAGGACGTGCAAAACATCCTGCTGCGAACGGCTGCGAAGAATGATGAGGGAGACATCGACTGGGTGGTCAACGGGGCCGGTCTCCACGTCAATCACAAGGTAAACCGTCAGAACTCCTTTCCTTGCACGATCTGGCTAACGACGGATTACGCACGCCATTTTTCTGGTAGTATGGGTTTGGGTTGTGCGATGCGGCTGAGGCCACGGCCATGGCGGCCACTGCCCCACTGCTTCCCCCGGCCACCACCCCAGTCGTGGTGACGTGGACCGGCTCCGTGGTACCAACCTGTGTCTCTGGCATGCAATTCTCTACAATTCCCTGTCTTGATGGGGTTTTGCAGTCCATTCCAGACCGCAGCACCGCGGCGGCGACCATTCCGCTGCAGACCAATGCCAACATCAAGGTGGAGCACGTCCAAGTCCGCTTTGTCGCCAGCCACCCTCGGAGGGGAGGTAAAACCACCACCGTCACCACTGCCTAACTCCCCACATCAGCCATTAGTCCTGACATTCTTGATTCCTCCCCCCCCCACAGACTTGAGCATTACGCTGAAGTCCCCTTACGGGACGAGCAGCGTGCTGGCGCTACAGCACAGGGACGTAGGCCGAGACTACGACTGGACGTTCATGTCGATGCGCCACTGGGGCGAGAGCTCCGCGGGCGTGTGGACCCTGGTGGTCACCGACATGAAGGTCGGCGCAGTCGGGCAAGTCACCGGGGTCACGTTGACCCTGCGCGGAACACAGCCATGAAGCAGCGCCACACGGTCATTTGGTGGGCAAACCGTGGACCCAGGGTTCAATCGGTTACCCTCGCCCCCCGCTGCTCAATCGCTGTCGCGCAGCCGTCAGGCCTGAGGTGAAAAAGAGGATTGTTGGGTACATTTTTTTGATGAAGCAATGGGGCTCGACCGACCGATACGAAAGGAGTCCCGCCCGCTCAGCTGAGTATGCAGGAGGAGGCCGGTGAGCGCTTCGGCTCAGAGGAGATGTCGTGCATGTTGGCCTGCAGCGCGTGGGGCGCAAAGGGGCATTGGTCTCGGCGTTAAAAAGCAGGAGGCGAGCTGCGTCTGCGAGGCGGGGGCGTACGGCGACAAAGTGGAACAGCTCATCCAGGATCTCCTGCACGAATCCCATCTTGGCGTCGATGGAGGTGCGGAGATGGTCGGCCGCTGGGTTGGACCCGAGGTAGATCTTCCTGGCCCGCTTGGTCTTGAGCGAAGCCGGCAGTGGCGGAAGGCCGAACACCTTCATCAGACCAGGCGACCAGGCGTGGCTCACGTCAGCATGACCCAGACCACTCAACTCAAAGGAGCAAAGGGCAGAGGGGCGAGAGAGGGGCTGACCTCGGAGTCGACGGCGGTGACGTTGGGTTCGCTGAAGGGGAAGTAGTTCCATACGACGACGTACTTGATGACGGGAGCGCGCTGCGGGAGCGGGTGGAAGCGCACGGAGAGCATGGGCAGGGGCGTGCGTCGAGAGCAGTTGCATCTCCAGATGTTCGGACGTGCGCGTTGTCAGCGATTTGATGACTGTCTCACACAACGAGAAAAAAGGTGAGACACTTTGACCCGCCACGGGACACGCACACGCACGACCGCACGACCGCACACACGCAGTCCTGGACACGCACCTCTGTCCCATAGGAACATCTTGAAGGACGGGAGGGGCTCCAACGGCTCGCGCCGCAGGTACACGAACGTGTCTCGGAACAGCGCCCGCGGGCACGCCTTCTTGTCATCATCGCCTGGCTTGCGCTTCGCCTCGAGGCCTTCGCCGGCATTCTCAGGTTCGACCACTTCCTCTCTGACTCACCGGGGGGGGGACCACACAGGGATCAGTGCGTGGAGAAGGGTGGGAGGCCTCATGGGCTCGAATGCGCGCACCCGTCGTCGAACGAAGTGGCCTTGGCAACGTCCCGCATCCAGGCTTCGATCCGTCGCCACAGCCGAAGGTACTGCAAGCGCCTCCCCGCCCTGTATAACTCCTATTCTCATCCACGCCACGTTGGGTTGAGCTTCGCTTTCGTTCTTTTCTCCTCCTATCGTTCTTTGGCAGGGCGTCGTACCTTGGGATTGACGCGGTGGTGGTAGAGCGACGAGGCCGGTGGTGCCGCTGCTGCGGGGTCGGTGCAGTCGGCGCTCGAGGTGATGGCGAGGAGGGCCGGTAGGTCGGCGCCAGGCGGCAGGAGGGGCGTCCACAGGCCCACGTGCCCACACGCCACGCGGTCGAACCGGCGGCACACGAGGCTCCACCGGCACAGGTCGGCCGCGGTCGGTCGGCTCAGCTCCCACACGAGCCACAGCAGCTCTTCGGGCAGCGCCAGCAGCGGGCTCTGCTGTTGTTGGTCGTCGTCGCTGCTGTCGGCCTCGGCCTGGGCCTCGGCGGGTCCGTCCAGTAGGGCGCTGGCGGCCTGGTGGGAGGACTCCTCGGCCGCGGTGAGCCACCGGGGGCGGAAGTGCCCCTGGCCTGGGGCGGGCGGGAGCGAGGTGGTGCCGAATGGAGGGAGGAAGGAGGCCATGCAGTACCGCGCCAGTAGCACCTCGTTCTCTTCCTCAAGCAACGCCGTCAGTGGTGAGCCCAACATGCTTCGATTTCGGTTTCAGTCTATGTAACTGAACCGAAGAGGACGTACAACTGTGATGAACAGGGAAGAACTGCTTCTGCTTCTTCCCCCACTCCAGTAAAGCGGCCGTGTGGCTGTGCGACAAGGAGTTGGGTGATGAAATTTCGTATGGAGGAGAAATTGAAAGGAAAAGAAAAAGAAATGAACAACAAGAAGGAGGCGCCGGAAGATCAGATCACCGGATTGCGTAACGTTGCAAAGATGAGCAAACGGAAGACGGGTAAGGATGATTCGACTCCGCATGAGAACGAAGAGCTGAGCGAACGGCAATCCAACGGGAAGCGGGACAAGAAGAAGCAGAAGAAGGCACGGAGGGAGGAGATGGAGGCTTCGGCACAGACGGAAAAGAAGACCCACAAGAGGAAGCGCGTAGATGAGGAAGACGAGGAAGACACAAGTGGCTACAACGATCGCGGCCCAAAGGACAGCATCAAGCAGGGCGCCGTCAGCAAGAAGGACTCGAAAAAGAAGAAGAAGAAGAGCAAGAAGGCCAAGAAGGCCCCGAGTAGCGAAGATGATGCTGAGAAAATGAGCGAAGCGAAGGCCAAGAAGGAGGAGAAGAAGAAGGCCAGTAAGAAGGAGAAGAAGAAGAGCAAGAAGGAAAAGAAAGCGAAGAAGAGCAAAGCGACCACCGAAGAGAAGGAGAAGGCGAGCAACGGCGATTCAGCAAAGAAGGAGAAGGAAGTAGAGGCGGGAGCGTCATCTGCCACTTCGAATTCGAGCAACGGCGGCAGCGATCAGGGAGGAGCAGGATGGAATAATTGGGAGGCAAGCTCGTTCGGCGACGATGCGAGAAAGAACAAATTCCTGCGGCTCATGGGCGCGAAGAAGACCGAGGACAATCCATCGCAGCCACCGCAGAAGAAGGGCCTCTTTGGCAGCTTGCGTGCCTCCTCCGCACCGGAGCCGTCAGCGATCGACTCATCGACGGAGCAGAAGATTACGCACGATCTCACCTCGCAATTCCAAGATGCCCTCCAGCGGCGCAACTGCCGAGGAGGCATCGGGCTCGATTCGGGTACCAAGAAGTCGGACCGCAGTGCCGAGCCTCAGCCTCACCCCTATGCGGGCGGCAAGGCCTCGACCAAGCTCCACATCGACGATTATCCGAAATCGATTAAATTCGACGATTAATCGTCACGTTCATCTTGACAAGGCACCCCCTCGCCCTTTCCTCTGTACACTTGGCCTTGCGTCTTCGATCTCGGGTGTCTAGGCGTTGGGAGAGGCATCGCTGCCCTCGAGATTGAGGCGTGTCGAGGCGTAGTTGGTGTAGCACTTGAACTCGTTGGAGAGCTTGTTGTGCCTCGGGCGCCACTGGCACTCTCGTATGGCGCCACAGCCCACGTTCTCCTGAGCCATCAGGTAGTCCGTCATCACCCGCCCTACACACAGGATCACCACACCGCCCGACACCGTGTAAGCACAACCATCAAGCCAAGGGTGCATCAAGGAGAAGGAGCTCACAACGTTGAAGAGAGAGTGAGAAAAGCATACCAGTCGCGGCGAGGAAGCGAGCGCTGGGCTTAGCGAGGAGGCGCACGGTCTCCATGTACTGGCTCATGCACTCCTCGTTCAAGAACGGCGGGTCTATGAGCACCATGTCAAAGCCGGCCTTGAACTGGCTCTAATGGTGGCCGTGTTACATCAGCAGCATCATCATCAAGCAAACGGCGATGAAGGCTCAACGACGTACCGAGTTGTTGGACTCGTCGCCGAAAGCGGTTGGGTGCTTGTAGTCGTAGAAGACGAACTCGTCGGGGTACGCTCGCTCGAACCGTCTATCGTACTCGAACAGCACCAGCTCCACCTCCTCTCGCGCGCCCTTCTCGTTGAGCAGTTTCTGTTCTCACCGCACACACACACGCACCACCCACCGCACGCACACGTGTCCGTTTGAGTGAGTGCCATGGATGCCACGCATTCCATTCATTCCCCCCGCTCGGGGCCTGACGCGGTGAAGGGGCGCACCTTGAGGGCGATGAAGGCGGTCGGGGTGGAGAGGAAGGCGACCCGCCCACCAGCGCCCGCCTGCTCCCGCACCTCTTCGGCTATGGTGCGGGCCGTCTCCTCTGTGTACTGCAGTGGGCTTGGGGTGAGCCGCAGCCCCAGTTTTGTGGAGTAGACGAAAAAAGTAAAGCAAAGAAGATGGAAGAGACGCTGGAGAAGGCTCTACGTCTTGAAGAGGAAGAAGTAGGGGAGAGTACCCAAAATTGAGAGAGCTGCCAGTCCTCCTCGACGACTGCAACTTCGGCAGGGGCCTTGGCCTGTTGGGTTTGGGCGGACAGGAACTCGTTGAGGGCCAGCAGCGCGTGGGCCGAGAGCGCCGGCATATCATCGTCGTCGTCGTCGTCCTCGTACGCGGCCCTCTTCACGTTGTTCAGCCTCGACGCCAGCGTGGCCTCCATCTCCTGCTTCTGTGGCGATGTGGTAACTTGTTCCTCTCGCCGCCCCACAAATGATGGTTTAATTTTCTCACCTTTCTGGTTTTCCTGGACGCTGCGCATTGGTTCCACCTTCATCGCGGAATTTCACATTAAGGCTCTGTTGTTGGTTGCTGCTGGCCATCCACGAATGTCAGGAGGCGGTGGCGCGCGAACCAGGCCTCCAGCCGCTCCAGACCAGCAGAGGCGTCGGCGCTGCTGCTGTCCGCGTCGGCTGATGCTTGCGCTGTGGCGCCTGCGGCGGTGGCGGCGGCCTCGTCGCGCGCCCGCCGGAGGCGACTGGCCAGGGCGACCACCTGTTGGCGCGTCACGGCCTCGTCCCTGCCGCCTACCATCTGCCACAGCTCCTCGATCTTCTCCTCGTCTACGAATCGCCACTCGCCTGCAGCACTTGCGTTAGTGGTTGCGAGTTGTGTGTGTGTGTGGTGTGTCGTGTGTGTGTGTCTGTGGACGTCTACCGAGTCGCCCGGTGAGCCCGACGTCGTCGAGGTCGATGTTGCCGATGCGGACGCGATGCAGGTGGAGCAGCGGGAGGCGCACGCGTGCACACATGCGCCGGATCACGCGGTTCCTGCCCTCCCGTATCTCGAGCGAGAGCTTCGTCGTGGTGCCTCGCGCCAACAGCTTCCTCCGCTTCTTGCTCACCTTTTCCTTCTTGTCCTCGTTCGCCTCTTCTTTCTCTTCTTCACCCCTTCCCTCGCCTCCTTGCACACCAACGTCGTCTTCCTCCTTCTCCTTCTCCTTCTTCTCTTCTCGTCGTCTCTTCGCCTCTCTGTCTCCATCGTCGCCCGCTGCGCTGCTCTCGCTCAGGCCCTTCCGCTTGTGCGGACCCTCTTCCTGGCCGCTGCAGTCCGCTGCGGGGGTGGCCGTGGCCGTGGCCGTGGTGGCGGTTGTAGTGGTGGTACTACTCAGAGACGAGTCCGTGGTCTGCGGGTGGTGGATGGTGATGTGGGCGGCCCTGGCCGGCTCCTCGCCCTTGTACAGATCGACGCCCTGCAGCATCTGCTGTATGCGAGGATCGTCCAGCGTCAGGTCGGCCTCCGCTATCGTCAACTCGTAGATCTTGCTGATCCTGTGTTGTGGGTGGCCGCCAGTGAGCGGTCGTTGGCTAACGAGATAGGAGAGGAGGGGACGTGGCTGGTCAGGTACCGATTGCCCTTCTTGGTGATGACGTGGCCTAGATCGCCGTCGTTGGTGAACATGAGGAGGCCGGTGGTGTCCTTGTCGAGCCGCCCGATGCAGCCGAAGCCCTCCGGCATACCTACGGGTGCGCACACATGAAGTGAATGAGTGAGCCGGGGCTGTTGTCAACAATAGCAAGAGAAGAGGGCGCACCTTGCAGACAAGCGTTGAGTGTCTTCTTGCCGTAGTCGCTCTTCAGCGCCGAGATGGCTCCGCCCGGCTTGTTCAACGCCACCACCCTCGTCTTCAGCCGCTCCAGCTCTCGCTGCCTTGGCACCACCCCAAGCTATCAGCATTATTAAATATGGTAAATCAAATACAAAATATAATCCATAAGTGGTAAATTGGACCTACCAATCGATTTCTTGGCCATCTACGAGGACGTGGTCCTCCTCGAGATAGACGAGGGCATGCAGGGAGGGGCTGGGGTTGACGGCCGGAGCCGCGGTCTCCTCCATCACGGGGTGGGTGCGAATCTGAATGCGCGATCGGTCAGCGTAGTAAATGTTCTCGATGTCCTTGCGGCTCATGCTCGTAAATTGGCTAAGGAACTTATCGAGACGCATCGGCACAAAGTGGGCCGGCGGTAGCTTCACCATCTGCGACGCGGCCATCTTCATCTCCTCCAGCAATACGACCAACAAAATAAAACCAAAGGAAATGTTGTTTTCTGTGTTTTCTTGTCAGAGTTCGGCCGAAGTCACTGGTGGAACCATGAACCCTTGTTGTTGCTACCCTTGCCAGACCACTATCCGCGCAAGCATGTTCGGTCGAAACCCCACCAACGAGATGGAAAGGCAATCAACCGAAACCCACATAAAAGCTCCTCTTCTCTCTGCTCTCGTCATTCACCTTTCTTCCGCTCCAAACCCAACCACCAATGGCCCGCTTCACTCACCTGATGCCGCTGTTTGCCTTCGCCTTGGCTTTTGTAGTCCTGACCGTGCCTCCCTCTCAGGCCGCCAAGGGCGGGCGTCCTGCGGGCCACCCTCATCACCCTCATCATCCTCATCATTCCGGAGGATTCTTAGACACCACGTGCCGCGAGGTGCCCTTCACGCCTGAGGGCCTGGCCAGGCTAGAGCCCATCAAGGCCGCCAACCTGGGCACCTTCAACTGCTCGGGCTCCTTCACCTACTACGACCCGTCGACCGGCCACGTGACGGCCACCATTGACCTGCCCTGGTTCAACCAGTCCACGCTCTACGAGCCCTCGTGCGGCTGCTGGGTCACCACCAGCTTCGCCTTCGGACCCACCCTCCCGCCGCTGGTCATCCGCGAGTACGGCAACGCGCTGCCGGGCCGCGCCGAAGAGGGCACGTGCCTGGAGTTCGACTGGCCCGAGGACGACGGCAACATCACCCAGTCGATCGCCTTCGGGCGCAACATGCACTTCAACGTGCACCGCGACCTGCCCTACCTGCGCCAGAGCGACGGCACGCTCACGCGCCACCAGTCGTTTTATCGGGTGGCCGGCACGCAGAACGAGCTCGTCGTGGTGCGCAAGTTCAACGAGGCCGGCTTCATCGACTGGATCGAGAACCTCGTCTGTCTCATGGTCGAGCCTCAGCTCTTGTGATGATCAATCATCGCCGTGACGAGAAAGCAGATCACCCCCACCAACCCATGCCCCTGTTGTCGCATCAGCAGCCTTTTCTTTTCAATACAAAAATTTGTTTTTGTTGGCGTAGAATGTATAAGGCAGCCAAGTCGTTTCGATCGAAATACACCGGGTGGGCTGGTCGGAGAAAAGTTACAAGAGAAATGTCTGTTGATTCGTGGAGCCTAGTACAGAGACCAACAAGCAATGCGAGTGTCGGCTGAGCCCGACACGAGGAGGTTGTCGGTGTTGGAGAACGCCACGCAGTTGACAGGGCCGGCGTGGGCCTTGAGGATGGCCAGAGGTCGGAGCCGCTGGAAGTCCCACACACGCACGCGCTTGTCCCAGCCGCCAGTCGCGAAGATACGCTGGTCTCCGCGAATGGCCACGCTACCGACTCCCGCGTGGCCCACCTCCAGCCGCTGCTCCACCGTGACCGGCTCCATTGCTGGCTCCGAAGGTCGCAGTTGGTGGAGCACCTCGGCCGTGCCCTCGAGAGAAGCACTGTCGCTCGTGTCGCGGCCGAGTGGCAGGCCGGCGCTGAAAATGCTGATATGGGTGTCTGCCCCGCCCGACACCCCGCGCACGCCACACCCATTGCCGACCACCGCCAGGTCAAACGCGAGGGGCGGCTCGTCGTGCATGCGTTTGGCCTCGGGACCAGCCGCGGCTGCTGTCGATGCAAACGGAGCTGATGGCTTGCGGGAGTCCCAGAGGTAGAGCTGCCCATTCTCCCAGACCGAGGCCAGGTAGGGCTGGCTACCGCCACCGCCGCCGTCAGCTCCTCCTCCGTCGAACAGTCGGATGCACATACACATGCCGGTCTTCGATCGGCTGTCCAGACCCCCGATGGGTGACGGGAATCGCTGGGCCGCTGCCCGTGTACGCAAGTCCCACAGCGCCACAGCCTCACCTTCACCTCGCCTGCCTTCCTCTTCGCCGTAGACAGCAAACAAGCCCGAGTTGTCTGCAAGATATCACATGTGATGAGTTCATGGCTACTCGCCAGGGTGGGTGGTGAGGCGGTACGTGCCGCTACTGCTTGAGCGCTCGAGAACAGAGAGCTTGCAGAAGGCGAGCGTGGCCACAGGGAAGGTCGCTGTGCTGCCACCACCGGTGCCCAGTCGCTCGGTGGCCCACAGCTTCACGCACGAGCTGTACCCGCGGCCCTGGGTCAGCAGCTGCTGCCCGCCAGCGACGAAGGCCACCTGCTGCACTCCACCTTCGCCTTCACCTTCGCCGCCGCTGGCAGCAGTGGCCCTGCGCCCGCTGGTCAGGCTGTGGGCCGTCGGCTCAACTTGCAGACGTCGCTTGGTGCGTAGGGACCACAGGCACACGGCACCACCAGCGTCGCCCGACACCAACAGCGGCTGCTGATGTGGGGCGGCGCTGGGTGGGGGCACGCACAGGGCCACGGCATTGACGGCCGTCTCGTGGCCGCGCAGCACTGCCGTGGGCTCCGGGGGCGGCGCAGCAGCCTTTCGTCCGCTCTTCTTCTCCATCTATTTTTAAAAATAACATGAAAGAAAGAAAGATCAAAAGTGTCAGAAAAAGAAAGAAATGAATGAAAAAAAAATAAGATGGAGAGCGGAGGTGGCTCGCGGCTGGGAGCAGTGTTGCGGACGACGATTATGGTGGGCGCGTACTATGGGGTGGCCTACACCTTCTGCAACACGGTCCTGAAACCTTCGACGGTACTCGATCCACATCTAATTCTTAGAAATCACCTGTGGGGGAGGCAGTGCTGACTGTGCCACAGACCGCTGGACCTTCGATGCACCCGACCTTCAATGCCGCCGGCGACAGCGTGTGGGTCTATCGGCGGATTGATCCTGCCACTGACCTGCGCGTCGGGGACATTGTACATGGTGCGCCCACGCCCTACTTGTGACCCAGCCTCCACTCAAGGAGAGGAGGGCAATCGCATTCGTGTTGTCGCGCGTTCTCACGGTTGTGGCTGGTTGATGGTGCAGCACGGACGCCTACGTATTGCCGGCTGGAGGGCAAGCAGCCGGGAGTGTTGAAGAGGATCAAGGGTCTTCCGGGGGACACCATCAAAGTCACCTTCTACTCGCCCAGCAAGGTTGGGCGAACAGAGGCGGAGGAAGAGGCGGACGAAGTACGTGACAGCCACTCTATTTAGAAAGGCGCCCTTTGTCTCACACCACGTGTACACAATTAGGTGACGATCAAGGTGCCGGCAGGCCATGTATGGGTTGAAGGCGACAATCCTGGGCAATCCACGGGTACAGCCTAACCATAGGCGACATTCAGTTCTTTGAGTTGGCTGCTGGTCTAACGAGACAACCGTGTGGCGTACAATTCACCCACAGACTCGCGGATGTGGGGACCGCTGCCACTGGCCTTGATCGAGGGCAAAGTTGTATCTAGAGTATGTTGCTAATGCTTACTTACTTACTTACGCCTTTGTAGCGGTGCACGCGGAAGATCTCGAGATTCTCACTTTCACTTCATGCATCGACCTTGTTCTGGCTAGTTGAACCCGTTCAGCCTCCAGACCTTGGACGCACCCGGACATATCAAGCGGAAATGGGAGCGCCAGGCGAGGGACATCGCAGACAGCCGTGCCACTGGCAAGAGGTCGGGCGAGGAAGCTCTGCGTGCGATCGATCGACTGATTAAGAGTGGATCCGAAGCTTCCGACAACACCCTACTCGTCAGCGACCGTCATGGTAAGTCGCCATGTACAGTGCATCAACCCTTCTCTTGTCGGCTCACACACACACACACACACACACACACACACACACACACACACACACACACCACACACATCCTCCTGCCATCATCGCAGATGCTGACGTCAACGATACCGCGCTCGCACCTCCACAAGACACCGTCCAGGGCCACGAGCGGGTTGTTGCCTGAAGAAAAGAGAAGAAAAAGAAATGCAAGAGGGAAAATAATTAATTTGACGCAAAGAGATAAGACGAAGCCGGCCACGGGGAAAGGGAGGGCGCTGGATGAATCCTCCGACGAGCAATGAAAACAAAACGCCCATGGGGTGGCCGCCCAAGAGGCTGCCCACCCCCGCGGGCAACTTCATCGGCAGCAAGCGCGCTAGCGGCAGCACCCCGCCCACCACAGGTTGCCCCAACCGACTTGCATTTATTTAAAGTGCATTATTAATTTGTTATTGATCTGAAATATATATATTTCTATACTAATATTTATTGATTATTCTATTATTTGGCGACGCAGACAGCGAGCCTGCCGCCGGGTCATGGGCTACGGCGCGGGTGAAGCGCACGGCGGGCAAGCTGGACGACCTGGTGGCCCGCGACGAGGCCACCAGCGACAAGGACAAGGAGTTCCTGCTGTCGAAGCTCAAGCACCTGCAGACCAAGCGCAACACCGACGCCGAGCCGCCCCAACAAGCTGCGACCACCAAGGACCTGCCACAGCCACCCGGCCACATAGCAGCGTCGCCGCCGCCTCCGAGCAAGTC